CACCCGCGGCTGGGCCGGGGGAGAGCCCGGCGGTCGCGCCGCCTCGGCCCGGGCGCGCTGTCTGTGCCACCTCCCGCCCGTCGAGACGGCGTGGCCTTCCCCGGCATCTCGGGGCGGGAGCGCAGAGAGAGCCTCGGCCAGCTGGAGCCGGTGGCTGGAAAATTGTCATCGCCTGGGAGGCGCGGGAGCCCTGGGAGAGGCGAACCGCCGTCTCCTCCCTTCGAGGTGGCGGCCCCCGGGGCTGCCAGGCTGCGGCTCCACCGCATTCCTGCTCGGGCGGGGCGGGTGGGGCTCCCGGGACACCAACGGGGAACCCGAGCCTCCCCCTCCCCCGCCCGTGGGCCCGACACCCTGCGGCTTTGCCCGTAGCTGGCAGCCGCTCCCTAGGCCTGCCTCCTCCTGGAAGGTCCTGAAAAGGGGGTGTGCTCCGGGTTCCCCGATTCAGAGAGCAAACAGGCCAGTCTTTTGGCACCTTTGAGGCACCCCATGATCCAGACCCCAAGTGGTCCCCCTTGTCCTGAACACCTAACCAGGTGAGTGTCCCGCATTTAATAGATGGGAGGCCTTACGATGGCTGGAATTTTAAAAGTCCTTTTTATTTTAAAACTTATTTAAAGAAAAAAAATCCACCAAATCCGTTTTACCTGAGGAATGGCTCAGATAATGGTGTTGGTTACCTCGACTCAGAGCCTAGGAGAGGCCACATCAGTCAAAGCTCGGGGGAGAGTATTGTCTCTCCCCCAAGTATTTGGAGCCAGTGTTCAGAACCCAGATTAGAGTTTCGAGGCGCATAGCCTTCCTGACCCACTGACCCAGTCTTTTGGCTGGCATCAGTATGTCCCAGAGGGCGATGCTTGCTACAATTTGGTCTTCACCTTCTGGTCCTTTCTAGCTTCATCTTCCACGGGCCCTGACATGGACCAGACACACACACAGTGACGCCTCTGGGGCGACTCCCTCCACCCGGCAAGCACGTTGCTTCTTACCCGAAACAAGGAGCCAGTCTCACTGGCTCCTTCGATGACCAGCTCATGGCACCTCTTCTGGGAAGCCTTCTGATGCTTTTCTGAGCCTTGCCAGAGCCCGCAGCTTCCTCTCCGTTTCCCAGGGCCGTTTTGTGCAAGGATCTGTCATAACCTCTCCTGTCAACCCCATCACCACCCCACACCTGGAGGCCGAGGGAGGGTTTGTGAGATGGTTGGAGATGAAAGAACAGAGGAGGTGGGACAAGGGGAGTGCATGCAGAAGGCTGTCGTGTGTGTGTGTGTGTGTGTGTGTGTGTGTGTGTGTGTGTGTGTGTGTGAGATTGCAGCCACCTCCTCCTACGGCCAGATCATCACATATCCCACCAGGACTGCCTGGGAAGTGTCCCTGCTTTTGGAAGGTCTCTGGCAGCTGGGGAGCTGGGGGCAGAGCACCCCACTGTCACGATTTGGAGGCCCACACCATCCACTGACCTCGGTTTGAGCCCACTTTCCTTTTCCCGCATGAGCTCTCCACCCAAAAGCTTAGGAGCTCAACCTGAAGGACCCTCTGCTTCTCCCTGTGTGGGTCCCCTTAGGGTTTTGCATTTTCATGCTACTCCCCAACTGCACACCTTGGTAGCACACTATGGGTTTCATGGCCAATCTTCTAGAACTGTTTGCCTCTTACCCAGGTTGGGTATGGGACTGCTGCCTCCACATCCCAGCCCAAGTGTAGAGCCTTCTCTCAAATTAGGCAGAGAAAATGACAGATCTCAGCAAACCAGGGAACACAAAGGACTGCTCAGGTCAAGCTCTGCACCGTGCTTATCATGGATCCTATCGATCCCTGATGCCCGGGTTCCGGAAAGGGTGCGTACGGCCAGGATGGAACTGTCTGCTGATAGGCCCCCGATGAGCCAGAGCACCTGTGGCTTTACGGGGCTGGGGACGGCTACCCTGCAGTAGGCTGTGCTCTGAGTCGCTGACTTTTCTGCATAGTGGAGGGAGACACGGACATCTCAGTGTTCTCTAACCCACGAGACTGAGTTGTGTGATTCACACCTTGCCTGGGTATAGATTTGCCTCAAAGGCAAAGGGCATGGGAGGGGTGCACTGCATCTGATTTCAAAAAACCCCTGGTGGCATTTCTTTTGGTTTGGTTTTTCTACAGTGTTGCAGCAACAGTGACAGAGGAGGTGCCACATAATTGAGGGTTCTAGGGTGCTGGGTTCCAGTTCACCGAGGCCTTCTCACTGCATTTGTGCTGTTGTGCAGTGGCCCCTGGGTCTGGCCACCATCCTGATGCTGAGATGGAGTCTGTTTCCTCTTTTCTGCCTCTTGCAGAACTGCAGTGAGAGGAAGCACACCGCTCCCCCTGTGTGCAGATAAGGTCACAAAAGGATATAATGTGGCTCTTCTGAGAGCACAGAGTGTATTTGGGATCCACCTGGGATTTGAACCCATGCCTTTCTGGCTGCCTGTCCAGTGCTTTTCCTGTGCTGAGGGTCAGCCCTTCCCTCGTGTGCCCCGGATGCTGGACACAGACCACAAAGGTCAGAGCACCCACCAGCATCTTGTGACGGCTCTAATCGTCCACTTCTATGTCCTAGAAGAATCCAGCATCCCTCCCCACTGCCCTGGCTGCCAGCTGCTCACCAAGGCTCTGTCCCCTGTCCTTTGGAGAAGGAGTGGAGTTTGACCCCTTACCACCGAAGGAAGTAAGGTAAATATAGCAAGTCTGACTTTATTTCTTCAATTTTCACTTTCTGTTCTAGACGTGATGGCTTATTATTTTAAAAAATAGTTAATTGTGGAAATATGCCAAAGCCTGTAGTTTGGTGGGTACTTTTTCAGACTTTTTCCGCTGCATTTTAGCCAAGTAAATACATGCACTTCTTTTTTGTTTGTTTCTTTGTTTTTTGAGACAGAGTCTCACAATGCAGTTGAGGCTAGTCTTGAACTCACTTTGTAGCCCAGGGTGGCTTCGAACTCGCAATGATCTTCCTGCCTCAGCCTGCCAAGCGCTAGGATTACAGGCATGTGCCACCACACCCGGCTTGTTTCTTTATTTTTTGAGACAGGATCTTACTATGGACCCCAGGATAGCCTTGAACTTGTGATCTTCCTGCCCTTGCCTCCTGAGTGCTAGGATTGGCATAATGATAGCATACACAGATATACTTTTTAAAGTGAAAATGAGACCGTGTGTACATAAAGTACTGCAACTTTATACACTTCAGATATCGTGTTCATCAGATGCTAAAATTTTTTTGAGTATTAGAGTCTTCTTTTCAGGAGCTCCCCACCCAGTCCCCTCCTCCAGGTGCTGTAACCGTGTCTCCTGTTACCCTGTCCTGGGACAAGTTCTAGTCTTCCTGTGAGAATGATCTCATTCAGGATTCTCCAGGGGCAAAGATTCGTTGAGAAGCTCCGTTAAAGCTATGTCTTTTCAGAGAAAGGAATTGTAACTTTTAGTAACTGGGGGGTTTGTAGCTGAAGTTTCAGTAGCATCGACACAAAGAGTCCTTTGATGTGGAACAAAGAGAGGTTTATGGGTTTAGAGGTGAGCAGTTTTACCTTTTATTCCTGTAGAGCTTGTGTTTCTAACAAAACGAGGACGTGACTTTATAACATTAGTTTCCACCAGCCTCCTTGCTCCCTGCCCAAGGGGGCAGGCAGTGCCACCCGACTGCCAGCACAGAATGCCAGTTCTCACCTGACCGGGGTAGCCGCTGTTAGCATGTCTCTATACGATGCCTGTGCCTATGTTAGGATCTATAAAGCTGCAGTCATAATGTAGTAAAGTGCTTCTTTGAACTCCCAAATTACCAAAGGTCTTAAAAAATAAAATAGCTAAAGAACACAAATGGTAACTTATTTTATGGAAATCAAGATTGTAATTGGCTTCCAATGATAAAGTTCAGGTTCCCGAGTCCCTGGGTTTGGGAGAGGGCCAGACTGAAGGCCAGGTAGACCAAATGCTAGGCCTGGCTACGACCAAGCTTCCAGAGTCAACACGCAGGATTTCTGGGTTTCTCCCTTCTCTCATTAAAGAGCTGCTCAGTCACTCGAGGGAACAGAGAAGCTGCCCACTCGGAGGCGAATCCACCTCATTCTACAGGACAGTCATATGTCGCTTACCGACAGAGCCATGTTCAGGAAGAATGTGGTGTTAGGCGATCGAGTTTGTCTTTATGTGAACACCATGGAGTGGATGGCTACAAACTAAGAAGACTGACTAAGTGTCCGTAGGCCATGTAATCTTGTGGGACGGCCATGGCAGGTGTGGCCTGTCAGCCAAAACGTTGTGTGGGGCCTGTGACTGTGATTACTGTGTGCTGACATTCCGCTCCATTGGGCTGGGGCACCCTTTACGGAAAGAGGAAACTGAGGCTTAGTCAGGGGAAGCTGCCTGATTAAGGGACCTTGTTAAGAAAAGTGGAGCAGCACCCAGGGGCTGAGGTGAGGAACGAGTGCAGGGTAAGCTTTGGAATCTTGTTCTCCGGCATGGAAACCCCAGCTCATGACTGGGGTAGCTCAGTGCTAGAGCACTTGCCTAACACGTACAAGGCCCTGGGTTCCATTCCCAGCTTCGCCACTCCATGGCACCATGACTCTTGTCTCTGCGACTCGCTTTCCTCTGCCAGGATTGTAGAGGAGACTGAATTTGATTCTATGACAAAGCGCTTCAGAGGTTGTACCTGGCACAGAGTAAGCACGTCCCCTCTATCCTGCTTCTCACTGGCATAGCCACATTTCAGTATTTATACCCCACTAGAGTCAAAGTCAGTCAGCCATCCCTCCTGAGAAATGGCTTCATTCTGCATGATGTCTCCCCCAGGTACACTTCCTCGGTCAAGTACGACTCTGAGCGCCACTTCATCGATGACGTGCAGCTGCCGCTGGGCCTGGCAGTGGCCTCCTGCAGCCAGACGGTCATCTGCATCCCTAACTGCACGTGGCGCAACTACAAGGCCGAGGTGCGCTTTGAGCCCCGCCACAAGCCCGCACGCTTCCTCAGCACCACCATCGTCTACCCCAAGTACCCCAAGACCGTCTACACCACCACCCTGGATTACAACTGCCACAAGAAGCTGCGGCGGTTTCTGTCCAGTGTGGAGCTTGAGGCCACCGAGATCCTGGGCAGCGACTGCCTCGCGGATGAGTGCTGACTTGCGCGGGCTGGTTGGGGTTGGACCGGCTGCTGGCCCTCTGCCCCGGTCCCCAGGCCACCCATGTAGGCCTTGCACGTCATTCCAGCCCTAGAGGAGTCTAACCTGGAGATACCTCTGAGCCCAGTTTGGGGAAGAAGAAAAAAGAAGTCACTGCATCTTACAATTATTGAGATACTTGGTTTTGTTTTTAAATTTTCAAATTGCCTTCAAAAGGAGTATATCTGGTTTGCTGCTGCAGTGTCCCCGAAGTCTCCGTATGATGAGAAAATAAAAAAGACAACTAGAGCAAGAAGAGAATGACAGCACATGGGGCCAGGGAGCGAGTGGTGGAGGCGGGCTCCCTCCGCGGCCGTGTGTGTGAAGAACAGGTGGGAAAGTCCCGCGATGGGAAAGTGGGCTGTGGGAAGGTTCAGCCACAGAAGTCTTCCCTGCTACAGGAGTAGAGCTCATTCAGTAAATTGTGAAACCCATATGTGTTCAATCTGTGGAGAGCTGAGTTCCATTCCATTTTTATTTTTGCTTCCATTTGTATTTCCTGTTAACTAAAACTCTTGGAATTCTCTAGATCGTTCTCATGATATCAAAAAACCCCAAACCACAATAGGAGCTGCCTTTGGAGGAAAAAACAAAGGCTCGCTGTGTGGCTGCCCACTGCAGATGGCCAGGTGGACCGATGGCCTGGCTTGGGAGCAGCGGGTGGGGTCCAGGCGCCGGCTCTGGCTCAGCCCTCGCAGGGCCCTCGCACACTTGGCATCTGGTTAGCATCCCTAGGCTTGTGTAACTCTCTCGATAGGTATTCTGGGGTTTCAAAATACTTTCCAGTTTTTTCACGAGGCACAATGTAGTAGAGGGCTCTTTTGGAAGAAATGGCATTTTAAAAGAATGCTTTGGAAAAGTACTTTCTAGGGCTCTTATCAGGGAGGTTTCCACTCTGGAAGGCCACGCTTCAGACCCCCTGCTGGCCTGGCGGGAAGAGGTGAATGTGGATGCTTCTGGCGCTCCAGTCGTTGTGATTAAGCGTCTGGATGGACCTGTTTTTAGGACTTCGGTGGTGTTGAAATTGTGGAAGGGTTGGGTCTAATCCAACAGTCCCAAAAGCAAGGATTCTTGCTTCCCGCCCCCCGCCCCAGGTTCAGCTGAGTTCCGGATAGGGAAAGGTGGCATAATTCAGCCACCACAACTTGGCCACTACAGCAGTGGTGGACATTTCTTTTCTGCCACTGTACCCATGAAGGTGGCCACTGTGGAGCCGAATGTGGACTGAAGATGCTCCTGAGGCCGCTGTGTGAGCGCCGCCGAACGGGCGGGGGCAGCAGTGCAGAGGCCGCTGCTGGGCAGGTGCGACCGGGCTGCTGCCCGCTCACCGCCCGGCCCCCGCCCTTGCTTCTTAGCACCTCCTGCCAGGCCCTGCGGTGCCTGAGTGGAGAAAGTGGCAGATGGACTTTTTTCCAGTACTGGAAAGAACAAACCGTACATATTTCCTTTGAATACATCCAAATTATGTCAAGTGATCCTGGGTTACAGAAGGTTGTAAGTCCAGCCTCCTGCTTTATCTGCAGGTTTCTGTGGATGGCTTCTATCTGTCCTGAAATCAGAATTGAAAGCTCTCTGGGTCCGCTGGAGCCGTAGCAGGGGCTTGTTACAGTGAAAGCAGGCACGATCCTAATCACTGTCCTGCAGGGTCACTGGGGGCCTGGGCAGCCACGTTGTCAGGTGTCCCCTGCAGACAACAGTATTGTGTTCCTAATGGACAGGACGCGTCTCTTTCGATGCAGCTGGTTTGCCAAGGTGCAGCTCAGCAGGCACCCAGCACGGGGACGCCCTGGGCCCTGTTGTCTCCTGGGTCACGGACAGAGTGACACGTGCTGGGTGCCTTTGGAAGGGCACATTGCACAGGGTACATTAGTAAAAGCGGATATTTCTATTTGATTTCCTAATGTTGTCATTAAGTGGTAAGTGTAATTTTTAAATTATATTAGGAGAATTCCAGAGGCGTTGCTCTGCCCCAGTGGAGTGGAGCACTTGGGTGAGCTCAGAACAGCCCTTTGGGCAGGGCTGCCGGAGGGAGAATGTGCTCTCGGAGCACAGCAGCGTGGGAGGTGTCCTTGGGAGTTTGGGGTTGTTGTTTTATTCTATTTTGAATTTTTGTCGTAGAAGGATTATGTTAAAGTTCAGGCAAATCATTCTAGGTATGGAAAAAACCTGAACTCTTACCAGTAAAGTAAGTAGAAGTGGGTGACAGCGAATGTGTCATGCAAATGGAAAAGCAGGTTTTCCTCTGTTAAGTTATTCACTAGGGAACCAGCTGCAGTTCTTTCCAACCCTCTCTTTTTCTCCAAACCTGCTTGGCTGAAAGTTGCAGAAATGGGAGATGCGGCGATGCCGTGGGACGCACCGGTGAGGCTCTGACGTCGTCAGGCGATAGTGAATTCACGCTAGTTTACAGGGTGGAAGTGGTGAATTTGAAAACTCACTGATCTAAAATAAACATTCCCACGTATGCGTGAGAAATACAGTTTATTTGTTAATTAAAAAGTTTTTTTTTTCCTCTTGGTCTCTTAAATTATGCCTTTCATGTAATAAGGATGATTTGTATTTTCAGAGAAACATTGTTTCCTTTCAAACCATGGACCTTTAGACTTAGTTTGAATGAAGATCTTTTCCTTTGGCATTTTTCTTGTTTCTAACCTTAAGAAATCCGAAAGAGTATTGGACAAAACTGTGTTTTAAATTTGTCTTTGACCTCTGTCTCATTCCATTTTGCTTTATGACTTCTCCATTTAACAATAAATTATCTAAAAAATAAAGCTGAGAGATGCTTCCCTTTTTTTAAAGTAAGATTTTAATGTTTGATTCAGCAAAACCTCATCTTGAGAGGTTTTGAGACAAAATATTTAGCAGTGTTCTATTTGCAGATATGAGATTTTCCAAGTGGTACCTGCATATAGATAATTTTAAGAGATTTTGTTCCAAAATTTCATACGTACTTTTCTTTTTCTTTCTTTTTTTTGTCTTTTTTGAGACAGGGTCTCACTATTTAGTTCAGACTGGCCTTGAGCTCACTTTGTAGCTCAGGCTGGTCTTGAACTTGCAACAAATACTTTTTCCTTAAATTCCTTTTTTTCCCCTAGTGCAGGCCCTTGTGCAGTTAGGCAAGTGCTTTCCCACTGAGCTACACCCCCAGCCCCACCCTTTCCCAAAGTCTGCCTGGAAATGCAGCTGGAACTGGAGACGGCAGCAGCTTCCCACCTCTGCTTCCAGGTCAGACTTCTCCCGCTTTACAGAAGGGCATGCCTTAGCCTACCCGCCCTTAACTTTATTGTGTGACAAGGTTCTGGGCTATGCCGGGTGTGGTGGCACACACCTGTAATCCCAGCACGCGGGAGTCTGAGGCAGGAAGATCGTTTTCAGGACCAGCCTGAGATACAAAGTGAGCTCAAGGCCAGCCTGAACTGCGAAGCGAGACCCTGTCTCAAAAAAAGAAAAAAAGAAAAAAAAAACAAAACCAAGGCTCTGGACTGGAAAACTGGCAAAAGGACACCAGAGCCCACTCCTGGAGTCCGCTGGAGGGCTCTGTGGCCGTGGGCAGCCTCACAGAGGGCGGTTACATGCTAGGATGGACTGCGGCAGTAGTATAGCAGGGTGGGCCAGGTTGTTGTGTTCTCCCAAAGTGAGGCCTGGAGTGACGACGCTGTTTATTTAATGCCCCCTCCCTCCCGCCCCAAAGCAGCTAAGCATGAGCACAGTCGCTGAGCTATACCCACAGGCCCCCAGTTTCTTTTTAATAGAAATTAAGTCTAATTTGGCTGCTTGGGATAACAATGAGGGCTAATTTTGCCAATTTGTTTATATGGTATAAATTTTCCATAAAATGAATTGGCTAATCAGCAGTTCCAGGGTTTTAAAGGAAAAATATTTATAGTGTTTAAGAATTAAGCTGTAGTTACAGAGCGTCCTAAGTATATTGAAGCAAATGTTTCCGTTCCTGCAGCTTTTCTCAGTATATCAGGTTAAGCTGATGCCCCCAAGAAAAAAAGGAGTAAATATAATTAATATAAATCTTAAGAAATGCATGACTATTGTTTAGGTAACATGCTGTCTCAAGTAATTCCTACTTTCTTTCTTTTTTTATTTTTTTAGTCTTTTTGAGACAGGGCCTCACTATACAGTTCAGGCTTGCCTTGAGCTCACTTTGTAGCCCAGACTGGTGTCGCACTCGCAACAATCCTCCTGCCTCAGCCTCCTGAGCTATTTTCAAAATTTTGATCATTTTGAGTATAATCACTGTCCAGTGGTTCGTTTTATCACTGCATCGCGAAGTGCTGACTGTGGAATACAAATAAGATTGTGTGGTCAGGGCGGTTTAGGGACACGCAAAGCTGCGCAGTGCTGAATACGTTTGTGGAGGCTCTTGGAAGCCTGCGTTCGTCAGCTGTTGCCGCACAGCCGCCGCCGTCCCAGGGCTGTACAGCAGAAAGCTCGCTTCTTGCTTACACGTCTGTAGCTCTGGTGGGGCTGTTCTGTCCCAGGCCAGGTACTGGAATTCAGGGCTGTTCCTCTTGGCTCGAGTTGGCTAGAGAGGTAGGTTGGGTACATCCTTCTCAGGACGAGGTTCACAGCTCTGGGAGGGGCGGTTAGAAATCCAAGCCCACCTGAAGTCTGCACGAGGAACCGTCACCCTGTTACTTCCACCCACGTCCAACGGCCAAAGCAAGTTACATGGCCAGATCCAGATCAGTGCGTCGTGCTGGGGATCTAGCTCAGCGGCACAAGTGCCTCCCTGGCAAGTGCAAGGTTCTGAGTTCGATTCTCGGTACAAAAAAAAAAAAATCGGGGCGTCAGGGAGCCATACCTTCCCTGAGGATGTGGGGAGAAGCAGCAAACATCTGCTGTGTGCTGATCTGCCCCTGCTGTTAGCATGTGTAGTGTGCAATGAGAATCTTCAAAGCAGGAGATCTCAGAAGGAGCATTTTCCAAACCCATTACGTCACAGCACCTAGGGATATATCACAGGACTACTTTGGTGGTGGAGGTGGGTTATGTACTTTTAAGAAATTCTAGGGCCAGGGATATAGCTCAGTGGCACAAGCACCTGCCTGGCAAGGGCAAGGTCCTGAGTTCGATTCCCGGTACCAACAGAAAAAAAATAAATTCTAGTTTATCTGTATAGCAGAATCCAATCAGGAAAACAATGCCATACTATAGTGAATGCAGACAGCAGAGCATGCACGTGTTGGAGGCTGAAGAGGCGACAGGGGACACTAAAGAAGCCCAGATTATTAATAATTGTGAGAAGCAGCCCAGGGCTGAGGAGGTGGCGTGGTGGTAGAGCGCTTGCCCTGCCTGTGTGAGCGCCTGGATCGGGTGCCCAGCGCTACCAAAGGAATCAGAACCCAGAAACAGCAGCCCCGCTGCTACGGCCCCCCTTACGGCCACTCCCACCATTTAGAGAAGCCAGAAACAGATGAGCAAGCGAAGCTCAAAGTAAGAGGGGGGAAGGAAATAATAAATATAGGGCTATAAATCCATATACTAGAAAGAGGCTCAGGGTGTAGCTCAGCGGTAGAACACTTGCTACTTGTATGGGCCCTGGGTTCAATCCCCCAACACAGAAAAAGAAAGAGACAGAGACACAGAGAGAGAGAGAGACAGAGACAGAAAGAAAAAGGGAGGGGGAGAGGAGGGAAGGAAAGAAAGAGAAAAAGAAAAAGACAATTATGAAAATTACCAAAGCAAAATTTTGGTCGTTTGAAAAAAATAAGCTTCAGCCGGGAATGGTGGCACACTCCTGTAATCCTAGCACTCGGGAGGCTGAGGCAAGAGGATCGTTGGGAGTTCGAGACCAGCCTGGGTTACAAAGTGAGCTCAAGGCCAGCCTGAGCAGCATAGCGAAGCCCTGTTTCAAAAAAAAAAAAAAAAAAAAAAAAAAAAAAAAGCTTCAGCTTAATTGATGAAAAACAGAGCTAGCAAGTCAGGTAGGGTAGTGGTTATCTGTAATTCCAGTACTTGGGAGGCTAAGGCAGAAGGGTTGCTCAAGGCCAGCCTGGGCTACATAGTGAATTCAAGTCCAGCCTGGACTACGGAGCAAGACCCTATCTCTCTCTCCTTTTTTGGTACTGGGAATTGAACTCAGACTTGCCAGGCAAGCACTTATGCCACTGAGCCATATCCCCGGCCCAACCCTTTCCTGTCTCAAAGAAAAGAAAGGAAAAAGAAA